ATCAGTTGGGCCTAATATAAGTTCATTCAAACAAACTTACTTCTTCCTCTGAGAATAACAGTAGGATTACTCAAGCAAGAGAAAAGTATATAAATCTTCAATCTGGACCTCAGGAAAATATCTACTAAGATGTTTCATGATATCTTGGTGAACAAGCTAGACAAATAAAACTGAATGCAAAATTGGGTCAATTATTCAATGGTGTAATATCTATACAAAAAAAAAAAGACACTTACCAATGGAATAATATCCTTCTAACCTAGAAGCTCCTTCTGTGAAATGGTCACTATAGCTTAAATTGTAGTACAGTAACAATGAAGTTTATTTTTCATACTATACACCCATTGTTAATTCGTTGAGGGCTCGGATTCACAACATTTTCACTAAGGACTTAAGTTGAAAGAATGTCCACAATTTCCAAGATCTCTAGTGGTAGTGAGTAGATTATAGATATATCAAGTTTTATACTGACCAAATAGGTAACTGTTTTCTACTCTCAACACTTTGGGCACCAAATGTGTGGAGTTTTATTTTTCCAGACTAAACAGTTCTGACACTAGCTACCCGTGAGCACAGACCATACAGGTTAAGGGTTCAGTCCCACATGAGTGTCTTCCAGTTTACATGATAATCCAAGTCAGGACCATGTGTACTCCTAACCAACAGTCTATGTATAGATCAGGGCTGCCCATAACCCCCCTCCTTGCATTTGATAATTTGCTAGAATGGCTCACAGAACTCAGGAAAACACTTTATATAATATCACCTTCATTACAAGAAATATTTTTAAATGTGTGTGCATATATATATATATATATATATATATATATATATATATCTCCTTGTAAACGTTTCCCTTAAAAAACAAAGGATAAAAATATTTAACTTCGGCCAAATTAAAACTAAAAGCTCTGAACTACAGGTTTGAATAGTCCATGCCAGAAATACTAAGTGTCTATAACTTCACTGCTTTATCATCAGATACAGATTTTCAAATAATTAAAACAGGTTCCTAAAATACATCATTTTGTATCACAGATTTCAATGGTGACTTAGACAAACTTAGAATAATAGGGTGAAGAATAATATTTTACACATAAACTTAAAATACTACTTAAGGACTAAGATCCTTAATGAGGATTAAGCTATAAAATCAGTTTTAATTATTCATAGTTATGTTTGTAGAGTTATTTTAGAAAGGGAAATAGGACTTGATTAAAATTCATCCAACAAATTGTAAGGGCAAACTTTATGCTACATTTCTCGTCTAGAGCATAAATTTCAAGTCTTTCCTTATTTATTTACAACTTGAGAAACTGAGCACTAGATAATAAAGTCAGGAAACTTTATACTATACATAAATGGTCAAACCAGCCACTTGATCCCTAAGTCTAAGTTTAAGCTACCCATTAAGAACCTATTTTAAATTATTAACTTTTTGAAGCTGAGGAAAGCACAATATTTTAAAGTCAATTTTGGAAACAATTTGTGCTTTACTCCATTAATAGAGCTAAGGAAGGAGCATATTCAGTATTTTCACAAATGATGTCTCTGACCAGAAAAAGACCTGCTGAAATTTCTTATATCAATAAAGAATATATGGAGAAATGGAGTTGAAACATTATACAATTAGATGCATTTTTGGTAACTGAATTACCAAAGAATTACCAATAATTGATCATGGGTAACACTGCAGAACATTTACAGATATTCAAGAAGGAATCAATCTTTATCCTTTTCCAAATCAATTTCTCCCCTAAATGTGTATACAAATTGAAAATATATCATTATGAAGAAAGTACAGCTAATTAATTAGGGGCTATATTATAAATCCCAAAAGATAAAAGACTGAAATGTAACTAGTAAGTATGAATTCAAACACAGAAAGTCCTACATATGTGTAAAACTCTATGGAAACACAAATACAGACTTAACAGCACCATGTATTAAAACAAAAAGAGCTCCCATAATTCTATTTAACTACAGATATCATAGACATCATTGTATAAGTATATATGTATATGATATGGATATATCATATACACACATTCATATACTATGAAGAAGCAACCAAGCCACCCAGACCATCCACATCACCAGAGATACTACACACATAACAATGCGGGTCTTCTTGAAACTAGCGAGACGGTATGTCTAGCCCAGGCACTGAAGCCAATGCATTCCCTCATCCAAGGAGGAGTCACCAATCAACTGAAAGCCTATCCAAAGAATCTCTTGATGCTCTGTCTTACGAAAAGATGGTTAAAAATCTTTCCAGATTTCACTAATCTATGCTTCACTAATCAGAGACTGAAAAGAAACACATTAACTATCTATGAAAACACCCTAATGGCTATCACAGCAATGGATTAGTTTAGGGAATGAAGTCCAATGTGTGAACGCCATAACAAACTGTATCTGACTGCACCATGGAAAACACAAACCAACGCTTCCTGCTTAAGAGTGAAGAAGCTTTACCTTATGAATTTTCATATCCTTAGTGTTGATACAATGTTGGTCAAGTAGGTACTCAAAATTAAAGATACTGATTTGGCTAAGTGGAAAAATTAGTACTGAAGTAAAAGGTAAAAGTAGGAAAAAAAAAAAAATAAAAGACTGTCCAGAGGTAGTGGTTTCTTTATGTAGGGCCTATTAATGAGGACTGTGTCCCCAAGTTCCATTTAGAGAGTATTAGCCTCAGAGTTGCCTACGTTTAAAGGTTACAGTGGAAAATGGAAAATGATATCCCCCCTGTCCCCAATTTGGAGATATGAAATGCTCATCAGCATATTAAGAATCTGTGAGAAACCCTTCATGGAAGACATCGTTTAACTCTACTCACTGATGCCTCCCCAATTTTTTAACCATAGCCTCCTTCTAATGGCCTGTCTGATGAACATCGCAGAACTGTTTGGTAAGTGCTCTTTAAAGTGGAATCATGCACTGGACGTGTATTAGCCTAGGAAGCAGCAACTGGCACCTGTGTCCTTAAGGACAAAAGTAAACCCTGTATTTTAAACATTCTTAACATATTTCAGACATCTTCATTCTTTTAAGGAAAGAAAAGCAACACCCAAGTAAGCTATTTTTGCTTCTTAAAATGATGAAAGACATATTTTGGAGGCTTTGCAGGTTCATCATCTTCATGATGATGGTTTGATGGCTAAGTAGACAGTTTGTTTAACGGGTCCAAATTGGCTCAAAATAAAAATGGTCAGCTGCAAAGGCTCGTCCTTTTCAACAAGGCCACTTTCCCAACCAGGGAGCCTTCACAGGTGCACAGTCATAGAGATACACAACTCCTTGTCACTCTTGTGTACAGAATGCCAGGTGTGGAGAAATGAACAATCTTACTATGACTATGAACTCCAGAGCAGTTACTGGGCTTACAAAATAAAAACACAAGATGCCCAGGTGTATTGAATTTCAGGCAGGATAACAAAGAATTTTAGTGCAAGTATGTTTCCTGTAATATTTCAGAATACTTGTACTAAAAATTATTGTTTATCTGAAATTCAGATCTCACTCGGCATGCTGTATTTCATTTGGATCATATTCTTCCACTTGAATATCAACTACAGTGCATACAGACCCTTTGAGTTTAGCCTAAATGACAGGAAAAAGCAAGTCCCAGGGACTGTACATGCTTTTCCATTTCTTAGCTTCTAAGATTTTTCTCAATGAACTATTTTTGTATCTGCCTAGTGTAGCATTTGTAGTGTGGATCCATGACTCCTTTGCATGGCACAAGAGAAAGAATGGATTTTTCCAGCCACAGTAATCTGGAATACAACCAAAGACAATCTATTGAAGATGGAATATTCCTGAACAAAGATACAGACCAAAGTTCTTATTCTTACTCTTCCAGTTATGCATTGTTCTTGGGCAAGTATGTGTATCTCTTCAGGCCGTGGCTGCCCTGACTTCAATAGCCCTGACAAAACTAATATATTATACTTCATGATCCTAAGTAAATTCAGCTTTGCCTCATTCCTGATGACTAACCAGAGGTCACACTTACATATAATGGAAGCAGAGAAAACCACCTCAAAGAATACCAAGGAACTGGCTAAAAGATGCTCCTCATATTTAATTAACATACATTTGTTTCAAAAGAAATGTTGTTGCCTTCAGGCTAAAAGGGTACCTTAAATATTTCACAAATAATAACTGTTACTCATCAACAGTACAACTTTAAATGCCTGTCATTCCTTGGTCAGTACCAAATCACTTTGATTCCAGACCAATAAAAACCCCATCGACTATTTTAATTTCTTGATTCTTGTGGGGGTACCTCCAAAACACTACAAAGCATTCTGCAATTTCAATAAAAGGTATCTACACACAAAGGGCAAATCCATCTTCCCTAACAGAGTCTCCAAATAGTTTGATTTAAATAACATTTCTTTGCACTAAGAATCTATAATGCTAATTCATTTTGCCTTCAGCTTAACTTTCTGCTATTAATAGAGTGACAATAAGAATTTTTCTCTTGTTAAATAGTATGCCCTCTTGTTATTGAATGTCAAGCATTGCTTTCAAGTAATTAAAAACCTGATCACCAACATCTTTAGCACAACATAAAAGAAACAAGCCATTTCAAATTATACAAATGGCTGAGTTCTGAACTCAGTTAAATACAAAAGTCTGGTTCAACTGGAATTTCTAATTTCAAATTCCAAATTTAGAACATAATTAAAATGATTTATTATTTATCTGAAATTCAAATTTAGCCAAGTATTCTGTATTTTTTTTATTTGATAAATCTGGCAACCCCATGTGGGCTACCTTGTAGAAGATATTCACCAATTTCATTTTTTTTTCTTCATCAGAACACTTGTTTTGATTTTTGTTTGTCCCCTCAAAAGAGGTTCTACCTATGAGAGAACACACACAATTTTCCAGCCAAAATTCTTCTTACCATTAATGTATTTTTGCTTTTAACAAATCGGGCTTCCTATATTCAAACTGTAGTCTACAAAACACAAAATTTTACTTACCTGTGGATAATATATAAGAAGACCACATAATAAAATATTTCTTTTTCTCACTTCCTTTGCATATTCCCTAATCTGCATTAGGTTTTCCATTTTCTGATCAAAATGTACTGATTTATAATCAAGAAAATAAACCTGCAAAATAATACAAAAGGTAACATTAGAATACCATTCTTTCCACTGTCCTTTGAGAAATCTAACATTAAAGAAGTTCAAAACACAATTGTATTATTTTTATCAGTTTGTGTTAATTTCTAGATAAGCATTTCAACCATAAATCCTTATTAAAACTGAATCCTCCTTTACAAATATAAAAGCAGTAAGCAGTCATTGAGAACACAATGCTAAAAAATACAAAATGCTAATATCCTATTTCCACTTGCGTCAGAGCCAAACGTATAATGAATATATGATTTCAACCATTTGTTCAATTTATTATTTGAAACTAAGCTACATAGAAATATGTTAATTACCAATATCAATAAAATTCAAGGGAGTACTTATTATACTCAAAGATTTTTAGAAGAACCCCTTTCAAATAATTGAATTTCTAATAAATCATCTATTTCTCAGAGTAAATCCAGAATTTTATATGTAACTTTTAGCAGTGTTAAATAGTATTTTTCTTGAAATTACTCCAATGACTATTTTTTAAACATTATTTTCCATTTAAATTTTAAGGGGCTCAGGGTGAGCTTTCTTCTTTCAAATTACTGAAGTTTTATGGTACTGTTCATCTTTTGTGGGACATAAAATATATAATCACAATAGTATCAAAACAAGATGCAAATGTACACACAGAACAAACTATACTCGAACTTTTGTATTCTTTCACAATAACAAATTTAAGAAACTCTCAAGAATTATAATTTGTTCAATTCCCTGTATTTATTATCCAGAAGCATTTTAAAACTAGTATACTAATCCTTTCCCTTCCTCAAGAAAATGCAAAACAAAATCTTACTATGTTCTTTGTGTAACACAAGGGAATGAGTTTTCACCTACCACACTGTATTTTGCTTTTCCAGGGAAAGGCACTTAAGAAAATCATTTGAGGACCTGTATGTATATTAATTCAGTAGATATTCATTCATTGTTTCTCAGACCTTTTCATTATAGTTAACCAAAGACATACACATACAGTAGCCTCCTCCTAAAATCTAAAGTGACAATAAAGAAAATGCTCTATCCATTAAGAAACCAATAAAAAGACAAAAAAGCAAAAAATAAAATTGGAGGCTAAAAAGAACCCCCAAAAAAGGGTCTCGGGCATTACTATCCACTGAATAGTGGAAGACAATGTGCCCTGTGACCTTCAGCACACCCTCCCCTAACAGCGATTCCCTGAAAACTAACAAAGATGAAATTTCAGATTTTTCACCATGCAACAATACTTAGAGCAAATATAATCTGAAACTGGTGACCCACAGCCAGACTGGAATAATTATGAATGAACTATAAATATTAGACTTTCCTTCAGGGTAATTTAATTCATGACCAGTTGTTCCCCTAGCTGAGACCTAGAAGCTAAACACCTATTAGCTGTTAAAAAGATACTAGTTCCCATTTGTAGCCTGAGCCTTCTAGAAGGATGGCTCACATACCACCTTCTGTGATCTCCTTACCTCTCCCTTGAGAAAGTGGAGGAAAAGTAGAGAGGGAAAAAAAGGCAGGCCCTATACTAATGTGAAATTATGAGCTCAAGAGCGGAAGCTGAAGAGACATGTCCATCTCTGCCTTTTCTCCTGTCCTGTAGTCCTTTATGACATTTCACAAACTAGTGCCACAGGCTTCTCCTAGTCTTGTGAGTTTAAAATAACTTCCTGAAGCTAAAATTCCTGGTTGTGACTTTGGGAGAAAAAAAAAGGCAAGCTAATTTTTCAAGCCCCAGGCAATTTATGAAACTGCAGTCCTGTTATGAATCTAAAATTGGGGGAGTGGCTGAGACTAAGACTCTCTCCTGGGCCCATAGTGCCAAGTCATTAAATATCCCACAGCATCTGGACTAAGGAACAACACTGCTGTTTGGTGCTCCAGACCTCACAGTACTATTTAACTCTTTCACCTGTGCAATTTTCTGTACTATTTAGATACCATGAAATGCCAAGAGCCACCATACCCAATGTACTTAATGTGAATGGAATGCCCCACAGTTTTGCAATGCATGCAATCCAGGCAACCTTACTGATAGCCTAGATACTTAATGAGGCAAACAGATATTTCTTGTTTAATACAAGTCTTCCTAAAATATTTTCAGCTCTGATAAATCTCACAGTAAAATAAAGGGCATTGCAGAATGGGTTTATGGAAAAAATAGCACAAGGATCAGAAAAGATGAAACCACTCTACTTTGTAATTACAGCTTCCTTATAGATTTAAAATGCACAGAAATTAAAGAACGGAAATGCTAGTAACATATGAATTGAAGAAGAAATGATGGATACAGCCGGGAATGGAGCTGTGCCCTGCAAAGTACCACTGAACTTGGCTTAGGAGGAAGTGCACCTGCCAGTGGAACCTCTCTGCAAAGTCAAAGCTGGGAGCCGGTGCTCATTTTTCAATTTTCCTTAAAAAGTATCCTAAAGAGAGCTTAAAGTTATTTAAAAAATAACTTTAAAAAAGAGCTTAAAGAGTTATTAAATAATAACTTTGGGAGCTTAAAAGTGGTAGAACTAAAACTCTCGACAAGAATAAACTGTATTGGAATGGGAAGGCTCAAGAGATAAAATGTGCTGAATCTGCGTTTTGTTTGTTAAAAAGGACAGAAAATAATGATCTTACACTGAGCTAACACAGAAGAAACACTTCAGAAGGTATATTTCCTAATACCAATACCATGAAACTTAAGCATATACTTTACATTGCATACTAATTTTGAACTTCTAAAATATACCAGTTACTCATGAGTTCCAAGAAAAAAATTCAGTTGGTACAATAAAGCAATCAATTTTAATTTTAAAGACAGGGCAGGTTTATATAACTACAGGAGAGGATTACAAAACGATCATGATAGCTCAAGAGAAATGTAAATGTTTTTGCCTTAATAAAACAAACTTACAGCATGGACAGTCTTGTATCCATTGAAATGTAGCAAAACATCTCATCTAGGTTGAGTACTGCAGATTTGCTTATAGCTGCATCAAGTAGGTATTCTTTGATCTCTTTTTAAACTGCTCACTCATTCACTACTTGTAAATTATCGTTACAATATTTCCCCCTTAGAATGTCATTTCTAGTGGTTTTTTTTCCATGCATACATTAAAAAAAGGTAAGAATATCTTCCTATCCCTCCCCCCAAAAGAATTTCTCATTTTATTTTTTTCTAACATAGTAAATTGACTCCTATAAACTAGTAAACTGCTTCAACATTTAACATATGGGTAGCTTCATGGCTTTGTGGGTGGGCAAGGTTTCTGGCACTCAGAGTTTGGAAAATGCTCCTCTGTGCCTCATGTCTTCTACATTCAGTTCTACACATTTTTTTATATTTGTCTAGTAACCATTTAATATATCCTTGGCCCCAGATGAATTACAATTATTTTTTCATACTTTAATATGTAATTTTTCATTTGTCTCTGAGGACAGGTACATTAATTAAAGGACAATAATTAATATCAAGTACAATATTCTTTAAAACCTCAGGAATGTCCCACAACCCTACATTTAACACTTCTGCCTCATTCCAGAACCCATGTTAATAGGCCGGAGAAGGGAATCAGGAACTGTGGTAGGAGAGGAAACAGAGTCTTTGTTTATTTGAATAAGAAGTCAATTTTTGAAGCTCCAGTATATAGAGAAATATGCACTACTTAATGCCCATCAAAGTGGAAGGAAGGATGGTCAAAATCAAAGTTATGGTTTTTATCAAATAATAAATTAGGAAGAATTGGTAGATAGACAGAGACTCTCTGAATCCACACAACAGATACTGCAAAATTATTTACCTATCTATACAGAAAAGTACATTGTGTGACTCAGGTCCAGCATCTCATAACACCGTTTTTCAAAAGAAATACAGGGAGATAACAAAAGATGAAAATGGTCAATATTAAACAGATCAAAGTAAGAGTATGCACGGAATACTATGCAGCCATCAAAAGAAGTGAAATCTTTCCATTTGCAACAACATGGATAGAACTAGAGGGTATTATGCGGAGTGAAATAAGTCAATCAGAGAAAGACAATTATCATATGATTTCCCTGATATGAGGAATTTGAGAGGCAGGGTGGGGGCTTTGGGGGTAAGGGAAGGAAAAAATGAAACAAGAAGGGATCGGGAGGGAGACAAACCATAAGAGACTCTTAATCTCTCAAAACAAACTGAGGGTTGCTGGGGGGATGGGGGGATGGAGAGGATGGAGACATTGGGGAGGGTATGTGCTATGGTGAGTGCTGTGAATTGTGTAAGCCTGATGATTCACAGACCTGTATCCCTGGGACAAATAACACATTAAATGTTAATAAAAATAATTAATAATAAAAAATAACTTTAGAGAAACTTCCATCTCACCTCAACTATTTATGAAGTACATAGATTCCATTAATGAAAATTAATGAACTGTATTTTCACTTTTTACTGTGCTTTTCAAAAGAGAAAGGAACTTTTAATGTTGAATCATTTCATTTTACAACAAGTTTTTTTTTTTAAGATTTTATTTATTAGTAAGAGAAAGTGTGAACAAGCATGAATGGGGTGAGGGGCAAAGAGAGAGTGAGAAGCAAATGCCCCCACTGAGCAGGGAGTCTGACCAGGGACTCGGGACTAGATCCCAGGATGCTGAGATCATGACCTCAGCCAAAGGGCAGATATTTAACCAACTAAGCCACCCAGGCACCCTATTTAGGAACAAATTTAAATCAACACCATCAAGCAATTCAATGCATAATTCTGATGAATAGAAGCTCATTAAAAGTTGTAAGCTATCATGAAAATTCAGAGCACATGTTTAACAACTCATCTATAAATCATAAAATACCAGCAAAACTATTAGGTTGAGAAATGAGGGCATTTAATCAAAGTAGTAAATAAAGAGTATTTCACATTAAAATATTGGTCATAGAAAAGATTTATACATTTTTATTGATTCAAAGAATTAAAAAGTAATTAAGTTTTATAGTATCAAGACAAATGTCAT